GATCACTCCGTGATAGAGCAGCAGGAAGAGTAATTTCCTTTGATCGTGGCCAACTCACATCCCCACAAACTAATGCATGGGACTGTATTCAAAAATACTGCTCCGAGTGGTATGGGTTTGATGTCCGAAAGTATGATGGAAATTCACAGAGTGAAGATCTACTTCTCATTAATGAGACATGTAAATTTCCAGAATGTTCTCCTTGTCAGAGAATATTAGTAATCCATGCCGCAATGAGCTACCCAACTATCAATAGGCCAGATGATCAGCATTTTGTTGCCAATATTTCTCAACCAATAGGGCCCTATAGACTTGCCCGATCAATTCTTGCTCTGTTGGATCAAACTGTCTGCGAGTCACGCAATAAGCACGCTACTACGCAGACTCCTCTTGGATCACCAGAGGAACGACACCGCAATGGAACAGAGGAATATAGCTTCTTACCAGTGCAAGAGCCGGAGCCCAACACAACAAATGAAATGACACTTACTTTAGCAACTCAAAAAGTACGCGAGGAATTCGCTGAATCTCTTCAAAACTTAGAACAGCTTCAACTCCAAGCACCTCTTGCTACTCCTGTGGAATCAATACCCAGACCGCAAATTCCCGAACGCAAATCTTCAAAATATCCTTCACCTCCGCCTCCGCCTCCTCAAGTCGCCCAAATCGCCCCAGATAAAACACCCCTCCATATTCTCGCCGTCGATGATAACGCACTTAATCTTCAATTGATACATCGTTATCTTCAAAAACGCAAAACAGACACAATAGTGAGTGCAGGTGATGGCTTGGAAGCAGTAGCAGCCGTAAAAGCGTCAAAAAATGGATTTGATGTAATCTTTATGGATATTTCGATGCCAAATATGGATGGATTCGAAGCTACTCGACTTATCAGAAATTGGGAGGGCGAATTATGTGTAGGGTTGGATGGTCTAATCGCATGGGGGCACGGCAGAGAGAAAGAGAGGGAAATGGAGATTGAAGTAAAGACGTATGATCAACTGCCAAGGGGCAAGGCTTATGTAGTTGCTATGACAGGTTTGGGGAGTCAAAAAGCGAGGGACGAGGCGGATAGAAGCGGGTTTGATGATTTTATGACTAAACCGGTTAAATTACCGAAAGTGGGAGAGTTGTTGAAGAGATTGAGTTGTGAGAAGGCTGCCAGGTTGGAAGCTAGCAAGCGTATTACAGATTGGAGCTTTTAAATGAAAATGGATGGGCGGTCAGACGGGCTGAACTGGCTGAATGAGAGGGAAAGAGATAAGGTATGAGGAGTTGATATGAAATACATGAAATCAAATATACGGATAATTGGGTCGGTCTGGGAGGGAATTGGAATGAATTGTATAATAGTTGATGATGCCTAATAGCGAGAAGAGGCGGTAATATTAATAGCCTTTTTACGGTTCGGTCATCAATTTCATGTTATATTCATCTATTTAGCGATGTCGCTAAATGGTTAGGGGAGCACATATAACAAAGACTTTCTCATGGTATGTCCTCGATGAGATAGTGCAATATCTCGGGATTAATGGCATAGAGAATCTTAAGTCGCCCGCTTTTCCCCATATAAATGTGTCTGAACATGGCAGAATTCTCAGTTCGGTGTGTACAAATACTTTTAATGTATCATATCTCCAATTTTCATCCCTTCAATCGCAAATTTCTCAGTCGCCTATAGCCTCACACACATGATTCTAAGGGGGTGTTCCATGTCGATAGCGGATTCTTTGGTCAAAAATAGGTTGTGAAACCGTCTGAAATTTCAAAGTAATATTTTTCAGTCAACGATGCTACATGATGCTTTTTCAACCCTAGATGATGAAGAAACCAAAGGTGCCAACTTTTGATACCATCGTTTCGTCACTCGTTCTTGCCTAACTGTCTCATCTCAGCAAACCTCAAACACCATCCAATAAACCCATCACGTGTTTGCCAAGCTTCTGCCCCACCACTATCAAACCCCGCCATGCCTCAAGCTCTGGTGCTCTCCCGCTGTTGACAAAGTAAATTCTGTATATAAAACTCGGGTCTCTGATCTTTCTTATTTTTTTGATCGCAGAATAATAATACTTAAAAATGGAATTTGATACTAAGACTCGTAAGTTCATTTTCTATCATGTGTAAATGAGGGGAGAGAAATATCTTATGAAAGAGGGAGGTGGAAAGACTAACGGTTAGTGAGCAATTAGCTCTCTATTCTACTCAGGATAAAACATCTTTCGCATATATTTCTGCGAGAGATCGTTGGCCTGTTATTCTTGTAAGTGATACAGTTTTTTCTTCGGAATTGTCTACTTATGGATGATGTTGGGAATCGATGTGGAAAGCCCCAAACCTCCTCTGCTCGATGCGCGAGGCTTTCCTATTCGCCTAGTCTGCCTCCACGGCAGTGGCCCCCGAAGGGCTAGCGGAGCGTCATCTCAATTATACCAAGGTCTTTGCTAATATTGACTCTGATAGACCGGAGCAATTGATGATGTTCACAGAGCAGTATCCGAATCGACGGGTAGCAAACATGAGGAAGGAAAACGTATAGTCGAGACTCTCGCAAAGCTAAAATATGAGCTTCAACACGACAGAAAGTTAACGTATGGAATTTCGTTTTCGTAGGAGATGAGAAGCTGATCTGAGATTTAGCCCTCTTCTTGATGATGGACAACCGGATATTGAGGGTTATAATAAGGAATTGGAAAAATTGGGTTATCCATCATGGTTCAATATTCCATGGTTATTCGCGGAATGTTATCTCTACAGGTACGAATTTGCTCTCTCGCCTTCACTCTTTTCGAATTATAACTAATGACTAGTTTGCAGACGTTTAGCAACCTCTTTCTCCTTATCTAAAGAATGGAAATCCCACGATGTATTTGCGCGCCAAAAGATGTCGACTTTCCGTTCTTCTCGTCCTGCTGTTCTCGAACTCGCAAGTCGCTACCACGAACTCATAAACCAAATGTCAAATGACAAGACTCAAGACGAGGAGGCTGAAAAGATACTTTTCATGGAAATGTGCGAGATTTGCTTATGGGGAAATGCAACCGATCTTTCCCTTCTCACATCTCTTACCTACGAAGATATCCAGAAATTACAAGGATCCGAAGCACGAAAGAATTCAGAGAAGAATATTCTTATCAATGATTTGGGCAAAGCATATGATGTTCTTAAGGCTGCCAAAAAGGAAGGAAGAAGTCGTCAAGTCGATATTGTCCTCGATAATGCTGGATTTGAACTTTATGTCGATTTAATTCTTGCTGGATTCCTTCTCAGCGCAGGTCTTGCTACAAACATCGTTTTACATTCCAAAGCTATCCCGTGGTTCGTATCTGATGTTGTACCAAAGGATTTCTCCGATTTATTAAACGCATTGAATAATGCTCAATCTTTCTATTCCACACCCTCCGAAGACGAGCAAAGAGATGGGAAAACACCAGAACCACTTTCCAAAAAGGAAGAAGAGGAATTGGATTTCTTGTTCAAGACATGGAGCGAGTTCCACGCGGAAGGTCAATTGACACTAAGAGCTAATAGATTCTGGACTGAAGGAGGTAGTTATTGGAGATTACCAGGCACGGCACCTAGATTATGTGAGGATCTCAAGGAAAGTGATTTGGTCATTTTCAAGGGAGATTTGAATTATAGAAAGTTAACAGGAGATGCTACTTGGGATCCTACAACCCCATTTACAAAGGCAATTGGACCATTGGGTCCCGGGTCCGGTGTTAATGTATTGGCATTGAGGACTTGTAAGGCGGATGTGGTTGTTGGTTTGGAACCAGGACTGGATGAAAAGTTGAGGGCAATGGAGGGAGGGGGTGGAGATTCTGGACAGAGAAAATGGGGATGGAGTGGGAAGTGGGCTGTGGTCAGTTTTTCGGGAGGGAAGTAGATGATTTGTAGAAGGTGGAGATTATCAGATGAGTAGGAAAGATAGATCACACGTGCATAGAGAGTTTAGATAAAGAGAGATGGGTTTATGAGCCATGGTAGCTAAGTGGCAGAGACATCTCTAGTAATAAGAGATACAAATTCAATTAGGAAAATATATTGTTTTTCAACGTTTTACACAGTATCTAATGATACATTGTGAAACGTGAAAATGATTTGTTGGTTTGGCATACATTGAGTTTCAAGCACCCAGACAAACCCCTGCTTCAAAATTACTTGCTTCATTTCTTCTTGCTGCTCGTGTTGTCACATTGTCTACAGAGACGTTAGATGTACTAGGTAAATCAATCAAGAATGTAAAGTCCATTTAAAGTTCTTGCGGAAAAAGCATTCTTGGGATGTAATAGTAATAGTAATAGTTGTAATGATAATAATAATAATATATAAATTAATAATAATGATAATAATAATAATAATAATAATAATAATAATATGATATAATAAATAAGTATAAATGTAAAAGGCCCAACGCCACCGCTAAATATATGTATCTATTCTAGATAGATACATAGATAGATAGATAGATACCCGTCCATGAAAAAGAATTTTGTGTGACCACCCCCTTCTTATCCTGTCCTGTCCTGTCCTATTTCGCCCCGGTTCCGTCCCTGGTTCTGTTTCTGTTTCCTGGGTATAACTACTAGATCCTGTGATTACCTCACTCGTGTACTGTTGTGATTGCTTCCTGTTGCAGTTTGGGGTGTTCGTGCGGGGAGGTAAGTAGGTAGGTACTCATTGAGTTGGGAGGTGGGAGTTGAGAGTTGGGACTCGAGGAGGTGCTGTACCGATGGAATCAGGCGAGGTGAGTGGGTGGATGCAGAGTAACCTGTCCTATCCTATCCAGTGATTGTGTCTGATGTGATGAATGGGCGCACGAATTATTCCGCTGATTATTAATTTGTGTGTGAAGCCTCCTCTTGACATTGAGGTTTTGGGCCGGCGTGGCCTTATGATTGTTCTTGGTTCGGGTATCCCATTCTCGTTTCTTCTCATCTTAGCCTCGAGTTCATATCCATATCCATATTCACATCCAGTTTCGTATCCATCCTCCCTCATATCAACCATTTAAAGACCGCAATCCAGAGTACCAGCAAACTACTCAAACCCATTCCCCCACCCAACCCATCTATTCGTGATCCAGCGCCGCCCGTCACCACCGCCGCAGCAGGTAAACTCGCATTCACAAATCCCGGTCCGCATTGTACATTTACCATTCCAGCGGCCTGGGCATACGTGCCCGCTATCGCACTCGTTCTGACCGCGCCCGCGGATTCAAAGACGGCCATTGTGTTTTTCAGACACTGGTTGCAGGTGGGTTGGGAGCCGCCGGGGAGACTCGTGTTCAGAGGGAGATAGTATATGTAGCTGTCTGTTGGGGAGGAGGAATTCGTGACGGCTTGCGCGTAGCAGTATGCGCCGTTGGAGGGATCTTTGAGACAGGATGCGGTGTAGAGGGTGGAGTAGGCGAGGAGACCTAAACGAGCTTGTGTGACGAGCGGGTTGGCGGCGAGGAGATCAACGGAGCAGGCGGTGGTGGAGGTGATGTTGGAGGCGATGGAGGACATCAGGGTTGAGCATGATTGCGCGTTGGCGGAGCAGGAGGCGTCGAGGGTTTGGGTGATGCGGACGAGGGATTTGGAGGCTTGGAAGAAGGAGTTGGAGTTCTGTGGGAAAGGGGGTTAGTTTTGGATTGGGTCTTGGTTGAATGTATGCATCAATTGAATTTATTGGAGCTCTGGGAATTATTTGAGGAGGGATAAGATTCGAGGAACAGATAATGCCATTGCTTGAGCTTGCATACAATGACCATTCTTCAATTCCCCAATTCCTCCCCCTTTATCTCAGACCCACTTCCGAAGAGAAAAATCACATACCTGCAATAACAATGAAAACGGCAAACAAGCTTTGAAAGTCTCATTTGCCAAAAGTCCATCATAAAACTCGAACATGTTGAAGTAATATTACTCGTAAACCCACTATCAAACGGCGTGGGTAAACTGGCTGTTGTTCCCGTAGCAGCGGACACCAGTCCGCTACTCGTTTGCGATTCCGCCAGTGTTGACGACGATGAGGAGGAATCGGTCGCGGTTGCTGTACTTGAACTTCTGGGAGGTGTGATTGTTGCTGTGGAGGTTATCGTCGCTACGTTTCTCTTATTATTGAGATCGGATTCGCGGTCGGAGTCGGAGTCGAGATCTAGATTTGACGATTGAGGTTGAATTGCAATGTTGATTGCTTTTTCTTGTTCGTCTTTAAGTTCTCCTTCGTCACTAGAGGTGCTCGAGGTAATTTCCCAAGTCTTAAGTTCCGGAAGCGAATTGCGTGGGAGCGAGGGATCGGGTCGTTGATCAACTAAAATAGTGCCAGATCTAGCTAGGCGTGCGAGTGTGGATGCAAATAGTTCGGGAATCTCTTCTCGAACTTCAACCATTCGTTCTTCAATATAAAACTCGGCCGAACATGTTGTGATGAGGAAGGAGGAAAATATCGTCAATAGTATTATAAAATTAGTTGGAGAAAAAAATGTATGAAGATTACGAGTTTGGTAAATTTTGGAAAAAGAAGACGTCGATGGTACTGATGACGACGATGTGGTGAGAGAAGCTTGATTACTTGAAACCCTTTTGGTGACGGGAGGGATTCGGATAGGGAGCGTTGGTGCCGCGACCGTTGGATAGTGCGACGTGAATTGTTGCGAAGAAAAAGACGAAGACGAATAAGATGGCGACTTTGATATCGACACCTCATACATCTCTTCCATGTCTATATTCATATCCATATCCAAATCCATTTCCAGATCCATGTACATATTCATGTTGTTCAAAGATGATAGGTATATACAATACGGTATATCTTTATAGTCGTGGTTCCAGCATCACTTTTCGAACTTCAAATCGACAACCAGTATAGTCGTCGGTGGAAGAGAAGTTCACAATTATCGAACGTTCGTTCAAGAAGGTTGGATTTTATGGTATCAATTGTTACGAAACGAGAGAACAATCAATGATTCTTCTTCCTTCAATCCTTCCCGTCCCGATTGTTCCTTTCCGAGCCGGATCGATTGCGTCGAAGAATGATTGTTTGATGTAGTACCTAGGTAGGTAGGTAGGTAGGTAGGTAGGTATGTATCTTCGTCTGATGTTTATTCGATTGATTTCCTTGCTTGAATTTCCTTTCTTTTCTTTTCCTTTCTTCCGTCGTCGCTATATAACTTATCGTATCTTATCGTATCGAATTCGAAGTTGATTTAGAATCAGAAAAAGAAATTATCGTGAAAAGGTGAAGACCTCAATATGCAATGCAGATCAAATCTGCAAACGACCAAAAAAGGAATGAAAGAAAAGAATGACAGTAGTTGGAAAGGAAAGCCTCTTTGCAAAGTAACAATCCCTTGTATGTAAATTTTGAAGTCGTTGATAATTCTTCCGCAGAAGGAGAAAAATGGTGTGCAGTGGGTGCTCGAATGATATTTGATCTTTCTCTCAATCCTTCACTTCCACATACAGATCGATATCCACTTTCCAACTCTCCACTCTTGAATTTTCCCTTCTGGAGGCGTATGCCGGGCGCAGTCCAGGTAGGTAGGTACTAGGTAGTCCAAGCAGAGAGATTGATTTGGTATCTTTTTGATACAGGCAAAATACCTTTCGATTTTCCAGTCCGCATTCAACCAGGCCAACCACAACGCAAGCTTTCTAGTTTTCGTTTCGTTGGAACCTTTGGAGCGGTAATAGATGAACCTGGCTAGAAGGAAGAACCATACAAGACTGCGAATGGTGTGATATGATCACCAAGTAGAGTAGACTCGAAAGAAAATCAATTAGATTGTAGATTGGTTCATGGAGAAAGATTTACATTGGAGTTCCTGATCCAATATCCGTTATTATGCCTCCATTCATCTAAGTACAAAGTATCACTGTTACCATCTATGCAGATTCCCCTCTATCTCCTCCTCCATTGAGAGAATCATTCGGGGGAGAGATAATTAATATTCCGCGGGTACTATACCTAGGACATACCCAGATTCTTATCCGTTCTGCATGGAGACATCCATCCCATGTGGCATTCAACCAGTCAGAAGTACATCTGAATTCGACTAGATGCTAAGGTCACCCCTTTTGGAAAAGCTGCAAGCCATCGTAAGCCATCATCTGCGCCATATGGGGATGGAGACTACTTGGAGTAACCATATGAGCGAGACGAGCAAGCCTAATATTGAATTTTGGGGGGAAGCGTGGTGATACGATGTGCGTACGGATGATTGGGACAACAGTTGGAGTGGTTGAGCTAGTGAGGTTATTGAACAATTACAAGATGTTCCTTTGTCCCTTTGTGCACTACACTTATGAGTGTACATATGTAAGTTTATATGTGTCTTCAACATCTTCAAAAGTTCCAGTTCACGAAACATCCAAACATTCCCCCAATGCCTCCTTCATTCTCTCGCCAACCAAAAGTAGTCTCGACCACCACCCAAAATTCACTCTCCACTCATTTGGCCCAGACCATACCCGACCAATTCTAGATCTCACTCCCGAAGCCCCTCACGATACCCCTGCATAAGTCGCATCTGAGCCCACACCCAACCCCCAACCTAGTAATATGCCCGACTCGCACGTCCAATTCCTACCAGGATTCTCTCAGAAAAGTCCAAGAGGCCACGCCATCTTGCTCTTCTCTCACAATCATACCGAAATGAGAGTGTGCGTTTATGGATTGGGAAGCTGGGTCCATTGTGGATATCGCGTGTTTGGATCTAGGGAACATGCCCCCCAGTGCGAGCACGTTTCTGGAGATACCTGTTGCAAGCTACACATGCGGATCATGAAAAGTTGGAAGGAAAAGAAGTGAAGAGTGCTAAGATCTCTCTACCGTACGGAACATGCAATCAGAAATATCATGCATGGTATTATGTCATGTGGTGAACGGTTTGTTCTGAAAATAGCACTGGGCGGTCCGCGAGGTGCTGATGCCGATGCTGAGGTGCAGATAAGATGCCATAGTATTTGGTAGACGTGTGGAAAGATCAACATGTCTACCAGTAGTCTAGAACATTTTCCTACCTCAGAGTCAATATCGTACATACCTAGCTTTCACAGTTGAACAAATATGAAAACCAACGGTTCGGCTCCTCACATCTATTGATCCCGAATGCTCTCACAATCAATCAATCAATCAATCAATCAATTTCACGCGAGTTCGGAAGCCAATCCCGTATATTAAATATCGAAAAAAGAAAAACATCAGATCCAACAGTGATCCCAGAAAACGCCCACGCTGTCCGCAAGGCGCATCTCCAGGCGTCCGAGGCGTTGGGGGCGTCGTGGCCTTGTGTAGCGGTAAGCAAACAAGCACAGAATGGCACTCGGTACATGAATTCTCATGTATTCCCCTTTTATTTACAGGACCAAGAAGGATACAAGCCTAAGCATGTAAGCCTCTCTGCAGCACCACATCGAAAGCGAGGCTTTGGGGTTCTCTGCATTGCATGTACAATACGCAAATAAGCAAGCAGGCCTCTCGTATGTAGGTACACGAGTTAGATCTCGATATCCAGATGTACAATGTCCAGCATCGATCGATATACAATTACCATAAACAAAATCAACAGACTCTCATTTCCCCATTCAACACCATCCAACGAAATCAATAATACACTCCAGCCTTATCAAAAGAGCAATCTCGCTATCTTGTATACTTTTTCCAGTCGATCCATTCAACCCATTCAATTTACACCGTTTAGCACACAACTAATGCAAGCGTCCGGAAGATTCCACTCATCCTTACCTTTGTCTTGTTTACCTTACCTTGCTTCTTCTAAGCGTCGTGCGAGCAGGTGTCATAAGCTATAGGGCGCCACCAATATTTTCGTGCAGCAATTGAGTCTATCTGGTCTGGACTCCTTGAATAGAAAATTGGTGGAGCAGATATATGGCCGAGTTTGCGATGAGAGCGAAAGATACTTCGTACAGGTGAAAGAATGCCTACCTCGTAGTGAGAAGTAAAAGGTTTGTGGAGAGACGGGAGGATTCCTCGTACTGCGCCCGACGGCAGATTCAAATCCTCAAGGTTAACCCAATATCCTCATCAAGAATCAAAGCTTTCGCCAGTCAATCAATCAATCAATATTCGTACAACACATAGATAAGAAACATCGATACACAATACAATAGCATCTCGATCGCGGATTTGAGATCTAGCGATTCCTGAGATACAGTCGTAGTGGGCTGTCACGGTGTACACTTCTAGAAACGAATTATTGATTCTGGAGTGAAGGCTGCACTGTAACCTTGATGAGATGCGATGTTACCTTCTTATCTGGAAATGGTGAAGAATTTGATTATGAAGATGATGGGTGTACTCTGTAGATGAACAAGGGAGAACATCATGTGAATATCTATGGAAAAGAAAGAGGGAGGTTGAAGAATATTGTAGATACCCATTTCGTAGTACGTTCTCTCTCTCCACTCTCACCAAATCAGTCTTCGGGTTAGGGTTAGGAATTATCTGAGACAGGCACATAGGATTAGGGTTAGGAGACATGCAACAAAATATCATCATTGCAGATCCATGCACGTGAGAGAAGAGGGACTTGTCCAATGAGATTGTTGCACAGACACAGGGGTGATGAGAATCAGGTGAGAGCTGTTCAGAATTTGGATGGTTGAGCAAACGGTATGTGTAAATATGTGAGTGTTGGAGTATATGATTGTATCGACAAATAAAAAGATGGATTTACGATGATTGAGGGTCATGATTCACTGATGGTACAAAGGCAAGTACACTTATATATCACGTTTCTCGTTGAAAGTTTAAGCGATGTTGTGCCGACAGATAGACCGAGGGGCTTTGAGGAGGGGTAGTATGATCTTTTCGATATCGAACATTAACATAATCATAATCAACTTGAGAACTTCACTTTACTTGCTTGAAAATAAGTCATGTTTTGGAATTGCAAAACAGAAAGTATGCATTATCTTACAACGACTTGTATAATCCATTCATCCACGAAACGCAATTTGATCCCACCTCAAGATCAAAGCTGAAACAAATATCTCAACACTACTGCCAATATCAAGTCAGTATCCATCCTGCTGGGAATCAAAACTCTCGATTTGGAATATAACGAAGAGAGAACAGACGCCGCCAGTTGAATAATCCCATCCGACTTTGAGATATAACATTCAGCGTGATAACAAGGTGAGTATTTCATTGAGCTGGTCGATCTTGGTATCGTTTCTTTTCAGTATTTCTATCGGAAAAAAACTATTACTCAACACACTTCTTCTTATTCGATCAAGAGCCATCAGTAGTTTGAGTAGCTGATGAGGATCGTCAAAGATGATTGAGTTCAGTGTAGCCAGGAAGGTCAAATACGGCCTGGAAGTGGAGAGAGATGGCTGAAAGCCAGCTACCGTCGGGTGGCGAGGCTTCCAAGCTGGATGAAGTTCAATATCTTGCACAAGGCCCCCCGTCTGGGAAGAGAAACCATAATTCGCTGGTGTGATTGCTCTTGTGGGTAGTTGACAACGGAGCCAGACGTGGACACGACAAGCACGATAAAGTAACTTTCCGTGGCCAACATTATCTCCCTGGTAAAATTGAGGTTTCATACCCAAGTAGCATCTTGTGAACCTCTGACTGTGGAGATCATAGGTCAGATCATAACTCTTTTTCCCATCAATCACAGGATTTATAATGTCACCAAACAGAAAAGGCTCCTATTAACCCACTCGTATATCTCCCCACACCTCACTCCTTGAAACTCTCCATCTCCTGGTTACGGGAGAAGCTCAACCACTTCCAGCTATATCATCAAGGATGAAATCACTTAGTCAAGTCACCACAATATCAAAGTCTTGTTGCATCTCGCGCCACCCTTCAATCTCATAACCTCCTCTTTTTCTTTGATTCGCTCGTTCATGACATCCTTTGCGTCATTCTTTCGTTCCATCTTTTGCTCTGTTCAAATCAACGTGAGTTGTGGTGAAGAAAGGAAGGAGGAGCAGATTTGATGTTGGATGAAGAGTCCCAATCAGCATGCTTTGATCTAGATACTAAATCGAACATTAGCATGGCACGGCCTTCGGATAGTCTTTGATGCTCGAGGCTGAAATATAGCGGCCAAACTGAATACTCTGCTGTGCTTCGACTAGCGCTTGAATCGATTGTAGATGGCGCATGCTTCGTTCAAGGCACCCCACTTGCTAACACTTCTTCTATCCCCTGCTCCGCAATGATTTCTAATGCGGCAATGGCTTCATCAAAAGCACAAGTCTGTGGATTTCTGGTGATTCATAATAACTTAACGAATCGCATGTCCTTGTGCTAGCGATGGTTCATTCAAATTTCTGCTCTGTCAACTTTCAATGGTAGGATAGTCGCCTATCATGGTTTCAACGGATAAAGTGGTAGTGCGAGGTGACGTTGGGATGATAGTTTACTGACTTTCCGGTCGGTCGAGAACAGAACACAATGGTAAATACACGATCTGTTCAAAAACGATGGGAGCTAGAACTGCAGAACAGTCTGTGCCAGCTCTAAGAGAAAAAATAGGTTGTATTCTCATCTATTTGAGCATCATTTACTTTCAAGAAAGTTTGTCGGCAACGGTGCTGTAGAATGGGGCGCATTAACAGTGTGTTATTGGGTTGAAGAAAGATTGCTTATCAGTCGTGCTTGTTGAAAGGTTCCGCAATGGAGTTCCAAAGAGAGCAAGCGAGTGGTTTATAGCAAGCAAGCATCATTTTAGACAGGAGGTCCTAGAACTCAGACTAGCACACTAGCGCTGAGAGATCATAAATACATCAAGGTCAGAATTCTTTACGGACGAGTTGTTCGGGATGAAAAATGAAGTATTGCTGACCGGGAAAGAATACGACTTCCCATCAGCAATTAATGAGAGCATAGTCTGATTAGAGTTCTAGCAAGTGCTAGGACTAGCGACTGTGTCGGAAGATATATTGGTTCCTTCGAGAGAGAACAAGTCGATATGCTATTTGGTATTTCGAATAACACTATCACAGGTTAGTTATGCTAATGCTCAAAGAGAGCTAGCACGTACCTGGATGATTGTAATATCAAGACAGTGGAATGAAGAGCTTTAGTCAACAATCACAGCATTAGGAGAGGCGAAAGCACGCCGAAGCGGCTAGAGGGAAGAATAGTTTATTTTTATATGAGACTAATAATACAACTTGAGTAACACAGTAAGTCTCCGGCCAATAAATACACCATCAGAGTGGTACCAATATTTGTTTAACTTTTCCACCAGACAATTTGGAGCGGAAGCAAAGATCATGGATACATCTGCTTGCCCGTCCTTCAATTGCAGTCTTGCCTCATCAATGTTCGAGACAGTCAGCTTCTTGTCCCCGTCTTCTTTGGAGAGAAATCTGATGTTGAATAAAAGAGGGGCCCCCAGGAAGATCCTTTTTTCTTCTTAACAGCCTATCACCCTGAAATCGGTTTGTCTAGAGCTAGGGCTCAACGAACGGATGGCATAGCTCCCAGTCTCTGTCGTATTCAGTGCGCTCTTTACATCCCTTGAAGATCTGTGGGTCAGTTTTGGTCTCCCTACAACTCCCACTATATACCAGAGCTCAAGCTCAAGTAACGATCGACACCTGCCATTACAAGTTACATTACTCGAAGGAACCGAATTTGACGCCGCTTTGATGGAAGATGAGGAGATCTCAATGAACTCTGCAGCAGTCATGACAGTTGGTAACCAGTAATCAAAACTTCTTCCAGTCCAGTTTCCGCCGCTTCGATGAGTAAGGGATGTTCTTGCGGCTGACAGCGCGGAGTAGGGCGAATCTGGGAGACCGTTCGAGATCGTGGAGGTAGGTGCATTGTCTGGCCCAGCGAGCTTGGATGTAGGAAGAGTTGATTCCGAATGTTGTACATAGACCGCAGCTTAGATTATCGAGAAGAAATCAAGATGAGTGTGTACGCATGATATGCCGCGATGACTTTATTGGTACCTCTCGAAGTTCCACTGGCATCCGAGCCAGGCGATAACCACATCATCATCGCTGGTAGTCGGAGCCGAAAGGTGGATTGTTGTTATTTTGGTTTGGAATGACCAGCAATCAGCTGAGCAGTTGAAGAATCTTCATTTGGCAATTTGAAGACTCTTGAAGAATGAATTGTTCACACCTCTTGGGGAGACTCATTACTACAAGGCAGATGCTGTTAGACGGATTGAACATACTACCCAAGGACCTATACGAGTGCTGGAGCACTGGGCGCATGCTGTTAGAGCCTCGATGGCGAATATCCCACGATTTTTGCTGGTGTCTGAAATCTGGTTTTGTGGGTTGAGGGACTCTCAGATGAACTGTTGACCGTCGAAAGACCGGTATCTGACCCAGATTCAGCTTCTAGAAACCTGCTGACTTGAACATCACGGGTCTGGAAGACATTGACACTTGATTCCGCCAATACCTGGATACTGCTTGTACCCTCAAGAGGTCCGAGTCTTGGCTTCAACAGTCACCTGGAGCACGGGAGTGAAAGTATCACCAAGGGATTGAGTAAAAGCATGGAAGCTCCAAAGTTCCAAATGGCGAATCCTCGCGCTTCAAAATCGTTAGCAAGATTCGTCATCACTGATGCAATATTCAGTTCTGTATAGTGGAAGAACTTAAAATATCTTCAGACATCAGTCTCTCCAACCCACATTCACCATGCGTTTGATAAACTTCATCACCATCATCATCATCCAAAAGGCACGCCCGGAGGCGGCTGTAGGAAACATTTTGAATTTTTTATTGTACATGGCTGTGTTCTCCACAGAGTTTTGCTCACACCCACAGTCGTCCAACTCGATCAGCCATTCGTTACCCTCTTACTTCAACTGGTAGCAGTCGTCTCTCACATCTTTTCAGATACACATTAACGAATGAGGCAACAGCGGTCTGTCTATATTTTGATGTTATTAAAGGTTCAAGAAATTGAGGAGGTGGTACGAAGGAATGTAACGCGATTGGTTCATTCAAAAAACTATGAAATTGGATATATACTAACCACATTGACTGAAGGAATCGGCTTCTCTGTTTGCATTGACCAGCCGGGGCGGGGTTTAAATGAATTACCATGTGGGATTCTTTCTCTGCCCGGTTTAAGCTGGACGAACAAGAACTGATCATTGAAAGGTGATAGGCACCATTTCCATTTCGAGGCAGGGGGGGCCCGAGACCAATGTAAGAGTTGTTGTAGTGGGCGAAGAAGAATCTTGAGGGATTTGTCAAACTGCGGCAGTGTTAGCAAATATTTGGTTGTCAAAAGGTTGGAAGGTTTGGAGGCTACCAAGACTGCAGAACAAAAGAAATTGTACATTTAAGAAGAGACTCCATGAGCTCTCCAACACAGACTCAATTTTAATCGGTCGTTGAGCTGCTACGTGTAGTTTCGGTAATAGGCCAAAAACTATACCAATGGCCTGTGCATCGACCAAAGGAATCCCACCAGCCATGCATGACCATTATGGTCATCTCAGAGTATGGAGATCTATCAAGCCATGCTTGTCTAAGTATAAGCAACTATACTGTGAGACTACGAATGGCTCATTAAATCAGTTATCGTTTATCTGATAGTGCCTTGTCACATGGGTGACTATCAAATCAGGGTATTTGTGGCTAGAGTGGCGGTTAGCATGTAAATAATCAAGGAGCGTGAACCACTTACTTTCATAAAGCAGTAAAACAACCCATCAGTATTCAAACATGGACATGTCACTATCCTCGAGTTGCACGCCGAAGCGGCTGTGGGTAACTTTGTAAATTTTTATCTATCTAATGGGTACTCTAACATGTACCAGCGTACACAGATGGCGACTTTTAGACAGGCCCGTCCAAGGCTGGCTCTGTTGACAGGAATTAACATCCAGTGGTCGATAGTACCCCATCCACCCCAAGAGAAGTGGGTGCTATCTGTAATATGCGTCGCTAACTTATTCAAGAGCCTCCCCCCTTGCCCCTTGCCCCTGTCTTGATAGTGTAAGCCATCATTTCGTATCCGAAAATTGTCCTGGCCATAAGGCTTTTGGTTCGGGAACAACTTCTGCCCAGATTTTATGGTTCTTAATCTCTTGTTTATTGAGAGCATCGGTGATAATCAAGTAGCCATTCTCCTCAAAGAAGAGGTGTTGCTCACGAGTGACAGCGCGGATATAACAATCTGCCAAGTATGGCTATGGACTATTTTTGGTTAGTGTATTCACCCCCAAGCTCTTGAGCATAGAGACGAAACCACTTACACATTCACCATCAAGTGATGAGGCCGTGAAATATCATTCGCATTCGCTATCTTATACCAAAGCTTGGCACAGTTGGTATATTATCTGTTGTTTTCAGTAACGGTAGTTAGCAAATGACAGCAAAAATGGCACGCAAACTGTATTATCTCCTGCTCATTCACTCTCTCCTCATTTTCAATTGCTTACTTTTGTTTTGGCCGTTCGTTTTGGGCTCTGTGAATGCTTACGCCCAGTTTTCTTTCGAGGTTGGCACACTTCAGCACAAATTGGCCAAAGCCTGGCTCTTTCAGTTGATGCGTCCAAGTCTCTAAAAAAAAACATCAGTGAATGCTGAGCCAAGGAAAATCATAGTTAACCGACCTTGGTTTGATAAATTCTAGTTGGCTCTGTGTCTGACCGTGTGCGAAAAATCTACCAAGATTGATATCTTTGTTGGCCAGACACAAAGCCCATAAATTGAGAATAGTCTTGAGGCTTTGAGATTGCAAGAATGAAGCAGCGATGGAATAGCAACCGCATCATCTCCGACCAAAACTTGTTTTCTCTTTCGAGTCTTCCATTTGCGTTTGGCTAAATTTGTCATTTGTTATTGATGTTGGTGAGTGTGTGAGAAAAACTGAGTGTACCTTCTGGGAAAAGATCGGAAGTGTCAGCCAACGCTCGCAAGAAAAAAGAATTGGATGAATGCAAAAGTTCAAAATGCAATGCAAAGTACTGAAAGATAGTTCTCTCGATCCTCTTGATGAAATGAGATGGTAGAAGACTTACTTTGATGGTTGGGTTCTGTTAAGAAGGGTGAAACAATCAGCTCAAGCTCCAAAGACGGAGATATTTCGATGTATTGAGGACTGCAGAATGGATATATATCTGAAAGGGAGCGAATCTATCTCTCCCCCGAGAAATAATGACGGAATGCTTACTTGATTTGATTTGTTTCTGTTTGAGAAGATCGAAGGTGTCAGCTCAAGCTTCAAGGTTGAATTCTCATCAAACCAAGGAAGCGGAAAGGACTTGAAGGTAGGAAAAGCCTTTCGGTAAATCATGAAAGAAGATCCGATAGATTACTTACCTGAATGGATGAATTCCTTTTTGTTTGTCTTTGGTTCTGTGTTGAAGAAAGAAGTATTGTTGAATAATGGTTTGTGGGAAAGAAATTTTACAAGAAGGCAGACTTCCAAAAGACTAGAATAGGATTAGTGGCTAAGCCTTGCCGACTAAGCAACTCAAATTATTGTTACTGGTCAAGTGTTGTTACTTCAAAAGGATACAGGTTTGTTCTCCTTAATAGCCGATCATGTGACTGTGTCTTGACAACTTTTTGGGTGAAGTTTGTAAAGGACTGTAGATGCAATGTGTCTTTGATCTCAACTTTTTGATGGAAGCCTTGTTCAATCTCTGCGATGAAGTTGGTGGTAATGTCTAGAGTAAGTCAAAACGTATCTTTGAGGAAGTGCTGTTTATATATATTATGGGTTTCTTTACACAGTAACACCGTTTTGATGATATATCTTATGTTCTGGTGTCAAATTAATTTCCTATGTCTGGAACTCTACGTTAGTACGAAGTAATACATGTAGTAGTGAACAGGTTTTAAGATACAATTCATAATCATTGGGCAATTTTTGACAATTTGATTGAGTTCAAAAATCACATGAAATGATTCAAACTCAAGCAAACGGATCATGTGTTACATTGATTTTGATATGATAAAAGTTTCGATCACATATCTGAAGTTTATATAAACAAAATTTAGTGACCAAAAATCATATAATCGAAAGCTATATAATCAGAGAGGCATTGAGTGAGAGGGAAAAGGAGTACACGAAGCGCACCCTCTCACCCTCAAGCGGTTTCATTCATCATGAAGTTTCAGAATATGTATATCAAGTTTTTCTATCTTGTCTCAAGACTGAAAACAACAAGGAAAATCCCCTATATATTCATGTCTAGGTATATTATTATAAGTTAAAGAATTCATTTTTTGTGAATTAATCTAGAAGTGATTTTCACACCTAAAATAAATTATCATATTATTATTTTGATAATACATATCAAATCATCACGGACATGGATTATTCACCCCTAGGGACATCGCTCAATATCAAGGGGTATTCCTCACCCCATCTAAGAATCTATCGGAAGGAATGTATTTATATAAATGCCGTATCATTCTCCATATAGTGTATCTTTAGTGCAAGGCTTAGACTTGATTCATAGATCACATCTTTTGCATTAGAACTATTCACTAGTCCCTAGCAGACTCCACAATCACAGTGCTTAATACTCCCCTGTATTTTCAATTTCTTTCCCATGTAGTAGTATCATAAGAAAGGAAAACTTCTTCAACGCGGTCTGCAAAGATACTGGCAGTCTTTTGGATCCCTTTCAAGGGGAGAACGCTTGTTATTTGACAACCTTCGTCACTTTATTGCTGGCCTTTTAACGCTGAGTTCGGTGAGCACTCTATTTGTAAGGACTAGTTCTCCTCTGATTTACGGAACATCTTCCCTTACAACTCCAGTCGTCCCAACTTCTAACGCTTGTCGATAGGATATGGTACTCAGATGATAAGTGTGCCACTGGTTGAACATACTTGGTATATTGACTAGTGCCCCTAGACGTGGGTGGCGAGCGCACTTGTACTATCCACTGCCTGGAAAACTGAAGAGGGCACACTACCAGTTCAGTGTCGTCGTTATTTTTTCCTATCCTATAATCCCCTGTCTTTTCTTACTTTTCATCAACCAGCAACAATCGTCCAATGAAAGGTGACAAGGAATTATGGCAATGAAGTACGAATCTAAGATGATATTCTTCAGATAGATATTATATTCATCCCTGCATATTATGTATAGCACTGGCGAGGAATCAGCATGCTTAGGGCTGAATTTGCGTTGACCTCCGAGCGGGTTTGAATTCGAGACTATCTTGTAGGTTGCGATGCAATTCTTAAGTAAGATACTACGTGTATTATTCACTTATTTTCATCCTACTGTCTTTCAACTGTGAAAAACGAGGTACTTACCCCTCTTTGCACGTAGTGTTATTAGTATTCTTGGAACAAGATCGAGGTGCGGGGAAGGGTCAACAGCCTGTGAGACACAAGTGAATTTTGACACGTTTCCACTAGGTAGTTATTTATACCGCACTCTTGATCCCGTAAGTGCCTTTGCAGTGCCACCGGGTAGGCAGAGTCCATACTTGCATATAGGATAATCCTTCTCTTCATGCGAGTTTTCGTGCTAGATCTATTTAACTTGCAGCAATACTCACCTATTATCAACCGTATTTCATCTCATACCAGTTGGCATTACTCGTCGTTTGACCTCTCACCGTCGTTCAACTTACTTCTTCTTCAGATGAATACCCTGTTCTCAATATAAGTTACACTCGTGGCACCTCTATACTTCTCAACTATCTCCCTAATCAAGATTATTCTATTGATCTCCCTCCGAATTAAAACACATGGTGCTTTCCAGTCTTTCACCTGAGCTACTTGAGTCACTTGACGTGGGATTGGTGGTAAATTCACAAACTGTCTATTTAGGTACAGTACACATAAGTAATTCAAAGACTTATTTATATATTCAAAAGGAATTACTGTTCAGCCTTCCCATACTACCCCGCCCTCGAAATTGTCTCGCTCGAGGTCCAACCACGACTATTCACTCGCCAAGTCTAGCAATTGAGCCAATTAGTTGTGCTTACCTTTCATATATATAGAGCAGAATAGTAAGTTCACGTGCTTAATATCCACCTACCACTAGCACTCTCCATTCGCCGTGCTTGCTATGCGCTCTTCGAATTTCCATCTTTGAAATCAAGGGAGGGACATGAGATTCAAAAGTCTACAACGCCATTCCTTCAAGAAACGAGTACGAAAATACGGTAGAAGCCAGCATGATAGCCGGGCTAAGATAGATACATTGCTCGAAGAGCCAATAAGAAGCGTTCTAGTTCGCAGATAATTAGTCGTGTGCTCTATTTTAATCTCCTGAGTTCCCTTAGTGTTTGACGTCAAGGGTCTTAGAAATCCCTATCACGAGGGACCAGGATTCAGCCAACGTTGTGATAGCGAGAAAGCTCTCTAGAAACGAACAAAGTAGATAAAGAATGGTTGTGATTCTGGACTGTATAAAACTAATCCGAAGGCGATATAAATGCATTCCTTGTGACAGCGCGCAAGATAAACGATAGCATTCGAACTTTCAGTGATAAGTGACTAGATATCCCACGCGACAACCAATCGCTCGAATGAAGAAAAAAACATTCGATCTCCCTCCCGCTTTTCTCAAAAGCTTGATCGGTCTTGAACAGTCCATGCCCGACCCATACTGTTGGGTGCATTCTGATGGTCTTCAGGGACGTACCTTGATTTCTAGTTGATACCATAGAGGAAATATATAAAGGGTGATTTTGTTTTTGAAACGTTAATTTTAAACTATCCACACATACAAATTTCCTCGTCCAATTGCCAAATATTCACCAGCTTCCCGCATCTTTCCCAAAACGCCATCACACTGTTGCAAATCCGTTGATTGTTCAAGAACCAATTCAGCCCCTCTCCCCTCCCCGGCATGGCACATGAATTCATATCCACAAATCTAATTCCAGCTCTCTGATCGAGGCTAGAAAAACTTATCATATGCTATAAGAGCCGAGTATTCTATCCACATGTGATGTTACATTGACAAAAAAGGACAGCTTTAGAGTAAAGGTGTGAGGACTTTACCAGATAATCATTCTGGTTTGCCTCTGATGAGTGTTCGAGTCCGACACCAATATGTTGTGCGTGCACAGTAGACACTACCAGCGTACAATAAAGCAGAATGAAGAAGAAGGATGGAACAGCAATACTCAATTAAATCAGTAATGAAAAGCCTAGCCGAGACAACGATAGTATCGCCCATATACATCCAACCTATAAAAATAAAATGTGAACCTCTTCAACCCACTTGACTTTATCTCAGCACCACAATCAACAGCGGGAAACACAGAGTCTACAATGTGACCTACCATTGCGAAACCGTCCACAGAGTATCTGGTTTATATATCATACAAGTATGTGAAGATTTACTGGATACCTATATATTCACCACACACTACACACTGTATGAATCACTTCTCTCCTCCTCCTTTACAGCCACCCAGAAGATAAAAACTCAAGCGAACAAAAAAACACTAAAATATTCAAAATATGTAAAGACCCCCCTCTCCCTCCCCTCCCTCTTTCCAGAAATCAAGAATTACCAAAACAAAGAAATCAAAAAGCTCTTTCCATGTCCGTATTTGGTTATGGGATATTACACTGGGGTAGGAAGTTTACACGAGGATTGGTGAGGGTTTGCAGGGATTTTGGACATCTTTGGGATTGGATGATTCGGGAATTAGGAGGATGTGATGTGGGGATGGGATGGGAGGATGTGGGTGATAGTGACAATAATAATAGTAGCAGTAATAGTAATAGTAGCAGTAATAGTAATAGTAATAACAGCAGTAATAGTAATAATAGCAATGACAGCAACAGAAAACATATTCTTATCATCACTCTTCACCCGTACTTCAAACCCCCAAACTCATCCATCCATCGCTGTTTGAATAACCCTCATAAACAATAATAATAAAATAGAAAATAGATAAATGAAAACACTCCCAACTCCACACGGACCGAGACCGAGACCAGGAAAACTCTCCCTACATTTATCTCTGTTGATTTACTTACTCCTCATACATGCACACATCGCATTGCTTGTTGTACGTACTTGGTTGAGTTATTCCTCGATTGGGTATGCTCCTAAGAACGAACATGAGAATTGCTGTAGGAATGGAATGATGGATCGTTGAATACTATATACACATTTATGTACAGCGTTGAATTTGTACACTTCATCCGACTTCGGGTTGTATGTTCACGAAAACAATTGAAAGCTTTGGCTACAAGTGTCAACCATCTCACCCGAGGCACTTTACCAACTTTGCTAGTCCCCGGAAGTCTGACGAGTAGGAGAAACATATAAATCTATGTCTGAATCTAAATCTATATCTACACACACGTATATATATATAAGCAAATGCCCACAAACCCCTCAAGCCCCCTTCAACCCCCTCGCTAAAGTTTGCGACCTCACAGCTTTCCGCTGCGCCTTTTCAGTACCCAATCCCCAACCCCTCAAGAAAGCCATGCGCATCGCCGCCGCCACATACACAAACCCTACATTTCCCCACGCCATTTTATTCCACGCGCCCACATTCCAATAGATGCTCCACCCCAAGTCCTTGACACTGTACAGATGACCGAAATCCGCGACGAGCAGACCAAACAGGAAGACTTTCCAGACGCGGAGATCGGAGGTGCAGCGGAGAACGAGGGCTTCGTTGAGGGCGAGTAGGAGATATAGGTTTGCGAGTTGGGTGAGCACGATGTGGGCGGAGAGGGGGATGTCGTTGGGGGTGGGGTAGGGAGACGATGCGGCGTGTGTGAGCAGGAGATACTTGTGTGGTTGGAAGTGGGCGTAGTAGGCTCCGGCTAGGGTGGATATAGGTTCGATGATGAGGAAGAACCAGCTGTAGGCCATGGGGAGACGGAACTCGGGTGGAGCCATGATGGAATATTTTTTCTTGGGTTTGGGGATTGAGAACTTGGGGTTTCTCCGTTTCGAGGGTGAAAGGTTTGAGCGAGCCCCAGGGCTTGGTCTTTTTTTGCCGTCCGGGGAGATCGAGTTGGGTTTGGTGGATGACGATTTGGAGTCAATTGATGACTCGGGTTGATTTCGATTTGATGGCAATTGACTCGGTTGATTCTTCTCTGCTAGTCTTTTGATAAGCTTGGAAGTTGTAATGTGTGTATGTACTCGAGGAACTAACTATAGGTAGGTAGGGCAGTTGCATGTACTGGAGGAACTAACTAAGTATAGGTAGGCAGAGCTAGTACTCGTCAAGTATGAACCATGAACAGTGTCAAACTCGATTGGGGTAAGGAATCATGAAATCAATAGCTACCTACCTAGGTATAGACGAAACGGCACCTCCCATTCATCCCACTCACGGATAAAAATTTTGCAACAAGGCAGTCAAAGATGCAGTCAAAGTTCCAACGCTAATGAGCATTTAAGTCTGGGGGATCAGCGGATTAGGGTTCATGGTAACCCCCCTTTGATCATTTTTAATCCCGAACCTGAGTATGCCATGCCGCTTTTAGGTGCTGGCATTTCGATTCCGACGTGAGTGTCGATAAAGATGGGAAAATTGATCTGTGGGACAATGTGGAAGTTTACGTGATAATCAAAGCGGCGTTGTATTGGGATTGATTGAGGAGTTTGATCCGATATGTATACGATACGTGTGTGCGACTGCGATAGAGTTTGCAGGATGATGATCAATTTTAACCCCTGGGATGGGATACTTAGATACGGAGTAATCCATTTGATACTGATGCAAGAATTTGGGGGATGTTTCTTTGTTTGCTTGTTTGTTTGTTCATCAATAAGTGAAAGGAAATGAGTAGGTATATACAGACAGGTGTATACAGACAGGTGTATAGTATCCATTTCTTTGTCTTCTTTCTCCTTTCCTCCCTCCCTCCCTCTTTCTTCCTTTCGTAGCGGCGAACCGAAAAGATCTACAAAGCACTTTTGAAACTTTATTATTCCGTAGAACCAACGGCTCCTCCGAAGTTTGACGGTGGGTGGGTGAGATGTACGTATTCTCCTTGAGTCTTTTACTATGTTACTATATTGCTATTTATTCTACCATCTATTCTACCATCTACACTCCATTCTACCATCTATTCTACCATCTACACTCCATTCTACACTCCATTCTACTATTCTCAAACAGATACACAAAGCGATTCGGATCAAACTTCATTTCTCCTAACCTCTCTCGAGCCTCGACTCAGACTGTAAGTAATGAGAACGATGCTACAACCCCCTCCTCTCTCGCCCAAAATTGGTAGACGAATATAAGATTTGCCTCGCCCTTGATAAGGTTTATCCCTCCTTCCCAAGCCCCCTTAGCTTCTTTTGAAATTTCCTTATCCGACGGAATATGAGCTGAAAAGAGAAATATCAAACAACGGCATTTCGGTTTTTGATTAAAAAACGGATTCCTTATTCCTTATTTATTATCATTCTTACATTGACATTTATATTTATATATTTATATTGTGAATTGTAACGCTTTTATCGATCCACAATTGAATTTGATTCCTCTAGAGTCTAACCATCCGTCTTTCTTACATTTTCACAATTTCTCTCCATTTCCTCCATTTCCTTCATCTCCTCCATCTCCTCAAATTCCTCAAATTCCTCCATCATCAACACATTCATTTAATTTCATAAACCTGTCAATCTATCAATTCTTCCTCATTTCAATTTAATCCATTGCCTTTCTTTCTCTTCTGAAATTCAAACCTTTACACGGAAATCTTCATTCACACCGCCATTGACTACGCTGTTCCTTTCCCCGGACAACAAATTCATCCTGCAGGGACCATAAGTTTTGGCCCAATTATTTGAATACTTCAAGACCACTCAACTATCTGCCAATTCTTTCAAGTCCATACATACCCACCATAATTTCTTGTTCCGGCATCGACAACAATGACTCGAATTCTTCCAAATGACGAATATTCACCTGTTCAGCAGGCGCGAGTCACTCTCATAAGTCCTGCTACTGCGAGAGGATGGGATATTCCAGCGGATACATCGAGCACAAACCGCACTCCCTTTCGCAGAATGCGTCTTGGATCGGTCCCTTTAGAAACTGATGTGTTGGAGCGAATGTCAGATCTGTCCGTGAATGAAGATTTGGAAGAGCCGCTAGATGCGCGGCGGACAGGTGGCATAAGAGGTTTAATTCGACGTGCGTCAGTATCCATAAAGAACAGAAAGAGGAGACATTCGCATGCTACAGAAGAACGTCCATCCTCTTCATCCTCCCCTTGGCACAGACTACGACAAGCTACAAGTTTCAACAGAAATTCGAGGATGATACCATCTCACTTCAACTTTGACGGTCCTGTGGATTCTTGCTCAGAACTAGCTTCCCCAACACCTGGACATGGTGGCGCACCTCCAATTATACCGATGGGAACTGGCGGAGCCGCCAGAGCTACTGCAGCTGCCCAGAATCTCTTCAAGAATCGGACCTTTTTGAGATCTGAAGACACACAGCAGAATGATAGGGAGAGTGCTATTGGCATAGCGGTCAGTACATTAATCGACTCAATACACGCCCAAGATACGTCAATTAGTCGGGTCGATTTTATAGGAAGCCTTCCAATGGAACTTGCTACTCAAATACTATCTTATCTGGATCATAAGTCTTTACGTAGAGTGGAACAGGTTTCTCGCAAGTGGGCAATTATGGCAGGATCAAAACACGTTTGGCGAGAGACTTTCTTGAGAGAGAAATCTAGAGCTTATGCTATGCCCCATCCAGTTATCCCAGGAGTAGGAGATGGTGTCCCAGCTTTGGATCCTGAAACGGATTGGAAAGAAATTTATCGCATTAGGCAAAAGTTGGACGAGAGATGGATTCTTGGCGAATCGACGCCAACTTATCTCCTTGGGCATACGGACAGTATCTATTGCACACAATTCGATGAGTAAGTGAACGCTGCCTATTTCTTCACCCGAGGACAACCATTAATATTTTCATAGGCACAAAATCATCACTGGTTCTAGAGATAGAACGATTCGTGTGTGGGATATCAAAACTTACAAGTGTGTCTTGGTTATTGGACCTCCAGCGATTGTGAACAATCCCGCTCTCTTGACCGCTGCCGATGGAAGTCTGGCACATTATGCGACAGGTCCAGTCGAACGAGGTCCGGACGAATTACGACAACCTGGTAGTAAACCACGAACTGTTTCTTTTCCAATGCATCACAATGCATCAATCTTGTGTCTTCAGTACGACGATGATATCCTTGTAACTGGTTCATCAGACGGTACATGTATCATGTACGACATTAAGAAAGGATACGAACCAATTATGCGTCTGGAACACCACACTGCAGCTGTACTTGATCTCGCATTCGATGAACGATACATCGTTACATGTTCTAAAGATGTTAGTATTTGTATTTGGGATCGTCGCTCGGGTCAGTTGATAAAACAAGTTCGTGGTCATTCCGGTCCAGTCAATGCAGTACAATTGAGGGGAAATTCTATTGTAAGCTGCAGTGGAGATTTCCGAGTCAAGTTATGGAACATCGACACGGGGAAGAATATTCGAGAATTCTCTCGCCATACCAAAGGTCTCGCTTGCAGTCAATTTTCCGAAGATTCAAAATATATCGCGTCAGCTGGCAACGATAAAACTATTCGTATTTGGAATGCCAATACTGGGGAGTGCTTAAAATTAATCAATGCTCATGAGAACCTGGTCCGATCTTTACATATCGATTCAATTAGTGGAAGATTGATTTCTGGGAGTTATGATCAGGATATTAAGGTCTGGGATATGGAAACGGGAGGTTTGTTACTAGACTTTCCAAAGTGGCATGCGAGTTGGGTGTTGGGGGCCAAGAGTGATTACAGAAGAATTGTTAGTACTGGACAGGATCCCAAGATTCTGGTTATGGATTTTGGAGCTGGATTAAAGGGGATTGAGAAGTTGGAGAGTGGGCCCAGAATTGGGATTTGAGTGAAGTGAGAGATCGAAAGACGGGCTGTGGTGTTGTGCTGGGGAATGGACTTTGATTTTGGGATTTCTTTTTGGGCGTTGAAAAGCTGGGATTTTGGGGGGGAGGCGGACAATTCGTTGCTTCGTCATTCGTTATATCTTATCGACACGGTTAGAAAGAGGAAGGGGATGATTGGACTTGCTTTTGAGGTTGGACATGGATAGATCTTCTCTGGAGGGAGATGGTTAGGTGCTTTGGGATAGGACATGGATTTGGTATGCATGGTGGGTTTTAATATGGAGGCGTTCATACACACATGGGGGGTATGAATATCTAGAGCAAAAGGGTATGCCAAGGATTCTCGATATGATTAGGGAATTAGTTTATGGATGGATGGGGATTGCACCCCTTGAAACCTTTTGGGTTGTATGCGGGTGCATGCATTTATTATCACACATTTTTGGGTTGGGATTTTGTGTATAGAATTACCTTTTCATTTTATAGATGTTAAAGATGTCTAGAGATTGAGCAAAATATTAGATATTTATGTATTTTCTGTATTGGCAAAGTTGAAGTATTTGGTGTGATATTTCGTAATGTATCTAACATGTGTATTATGTCCTAGATGAGACTGATATTATTGAATGAATGGATTGATTTGAATGATGCTTAGTTCTGGGGCTACTGCTACGGAGATACATATCCGTAGGGGAGTGAGCTGGATGTTTGGAGTTGTCTCACTCGATAGAGATCAATGATAGAGATGAATGATAATGTTCGTGTAGACATGTGAATGGGCATGTTTGCCCCTGGTGAGTTTCCTTTACTGTACTCCTTCCATTTCACAAAATATTACCCCACATTGTAATCGATTCAATTGGATACAAATTACATGCACTAACCCAAATTACACTAGCCCTTCGCTTCACAATTCGCACAATCAATCTCAAAACTCTCCGTCCAAAACTTTTG